AGACGATAATTTTGCTGAGTCTCCAGAAGATGTGGTTAATCTGTTCGCCGACTTTTTTAGGTCGAATTTTGTTTCCGCTGATAGTAGCACCACAGCTAACATTTCTTCTGATATCAATTCGAGCTTTAATTTTGACTCCCTGACATTATCAACTGAAGATATTACAAAGGGGGTAGCTTCCCTTAAACCCTCTTCTCAAACTGATATTGATGGTCTGTCTGCCCTGCTATTGAAAAAATGTTCTGCCCTAATTCAACCACTAAAAATCATTTTTAATAAGTCTCTTGCTTCAGGTATATTTATTGATGAATGGAAAGTTACTTAAATAACCCCTATTCTAAAGGGTGGTAAGAAAAACGATGTTAGGAACTATAGGCCCATCTCTAAACTCTCAACTATTTCTAAACTGTTCGAGTGTGTAGTTAAAGATAAACTGTACTTTGCTACTAAATCTTTTATTTGTCTTAACCAGCATGGCTTTGTTTCTGGGCGGTCTACAGTTTCAAACTTAGCAGTTTTCACCGACTACTGCGTAAAGGCGTTTTCTTTTGGATTACAGGTGGACTGTATATATACGGACTTCTCGAAAGCCTTTGATAGAGTCTCTCATAGTATACTAGTCGAAAAACTTGCCTGCCTAGGTTTTCATTCATGCTTCTTGGAATGGATAAGATCCTACTTATCCAACAGACCCTGTGTTGTAACCATAGATGGTGTGTCTTCTGACTCTTTTGTGGCTTCCTCTGGGGTGCCGCAAGGAAGTGTCTTGGGTCCTCTACTGTTCGTCCTTTTTATAAATGACATAAGTAGCTGTTTCTCATTCGCAAATTTTTTACTCTATGCAGATGATCTTAAGGTATACACTATAATTAAAGATTCATTTGACGAGGTAAGGCTTCAATGCGATATTGACGCTCTCCATCGCTGGTGCCTGAAATCTTGTTTATCTTTAAACAAAAATAAATGCTTTAAGATGACGTTTGCGAAGATTTTGAATGTTCGCAATACGTCTTATTGCATATCGAATCATATTCTCAATAATGTCGGCGAAATTAAAGATCTAGGGGTTATATTTGACCCGAAACTTTCATTTAACAACCATGTTAACTATGTAATTGCGAAAGCATACTCAGTACTTGGTTTTGTACGTCGTAATAGCTCTAATTTCTCCGACCCATATACTTTCAAAGCATTATTTATAAGTTTAGTGCGTTCTCATCTCGAATATGCCGTATTCGTTTGGAGACCACATAGCCAACTTTTTATAAAAAGACTGGAACGTATACAAAAAGTTTTTTCGTAAGTATGCTCTTCGGTCACTGAAATTTGAAAGTCCTGTTCCTTCGTACGCTTCGCGTCTCAAGCTGATAAACTTACAATCTTTAGAAAGCCGGAGATCTATCCTTTCTTTAACCTTTACATTTAATGTTATTCAAGGTGTCGTCGATTGCCCCTATCTCTTGGAACGGATTAGCTTCAATGTACCCAGGCGCAATCTTCGAGTCTCTTATCCATTTTACTTGGCAAAAGTCAAGACAAGATTTTCCAGTAATGCTCCCTTGGCGAGATCTATGCGAGAACTTAATATATTATCGGAAAGAATCATAATTGATTTCTCTATGACAAAACAAGCTTTTTTAAATCTCCTTCACAATACTTTGTAATGTTAATATTGTACTAGCATTAGCAAAACCATTTATCTCCTAGTCTGTAAGAAATATTGTTTCATAGACTAAATAAATAAATAAATAAATAAATAAAAATAAATAAATAAAAAAATAAAACTTTTGGTATTGAACTCACTACACGTTTTAACAGTTTAAAGTGCTTGCAGTTATATATAAAGAAATTTACATTCGCAGTTATTCAGATAAATTTAATAGAAAATACTAGATGCATGTAGATGTTGAAAAAGGCAAATAGTTCAAAAGGATAAGAAAATGATACGGAGAATAAGAACCGGTTCAGTGTTGCCAGATCGAGATTTCACAGTTCGGCCATACTCATAGGCGGTAACAAGATGTGTCCCACTTGATTTTGCAAGGGTTAAAACTAAAAGAGCGCACGAAGGCGGAGAACTATAGTTTTATCGAATTAAAGGAGGATGTGGAGCCAGCCTATGATTTTCGGAAGCGCCGTCCGGAATTCGTTTTGAAACAAAAGAATCAAACACAAGTAAACGCTGAGCTTTCTCATTACTTAACGTCTCCTGTTTCAGCACTTTCAAGTTACCCCATTTCAAAATACTGTGGACTGCAGATCCATACTTCGCTGGTTTATATCCGGCTCGATGGACCATGAATAACTCAGTGAGAGGGGAGACCAAAACTAGTGGGTATCTACGTTCTTTGGTACTAGTTCACGAAATTCTTAAATTATCTTATTTTTTAGTTTAGTGTCAACCATTTATGAGTTTAATCAAATTTTGTCGTATACGCCATTTGTCAAAAATGTTGCAGTCAGTTTTAAAATGTGATGAAATTTTTTATAAATTAACTATACTTTTCACTAATCAGGCTAATTGTGAGTTTCGCCCAAACAAAATTTCGCCAGATTCGCCGGTTCGAGAAAAAAATTAAACTCATGATAAGGCTGAATATGTCGGAAAACGGAAAATAAAGCAGATATTTAAAAACTATACTTTTCACTAATCAGCCTAATTGTGAGTTTCGCCCAAACAAAATTTCGCCAGATTTCGCCGGTTCGAGAAAAAAATTAAACTCATGATTAGGGCTGAATATGTCAGAAAACGGAAAATAAAGCAGATATTTAAAAACAGATGACGCTATTTGAAAGATCTTGATTAGTTTATTATTACAGCATTACTAACGTAATTTGTACCAAATGATTTTAGTCAATTACTCGGAACTGACGGATGACGCTATTTGAAAGATCTTGATTAGTTTAGTACGACTAACGTAATTTGTACCAAATGATTTTAGTCAATTACTCGGAAACTAAAGAAGATATTCAAGAAACAAAACAGCGAAATATCTGATTTTAAAATACATAACTGTATCTTTAACTAAAAACTGTCAAAATGACGCTTACGGAAATTTTCCATCCAAGCGACGACATTTGAATGTTACTGGCATAATTTCGAGCCTGTCTGTAAATTTTCGGGAAAAAGTTAAAAAGTATATTCATATGCTGAAAAGATATTTTCGCAGACTCACAATTTATTTAAAGTATATCATCAACCCTATTTCCAATTCTATGTGAATAAATCGCTCTCATAATTTAATTTGTGCATTCAATATATTTCACAATTAACTTAAATAATAAATTACAAATATTTGTGCAACGACCTCGACAAAGTACAAAAAAAAAAATTGGTATGTATTAGTAAAATAAATATTCTTAATACATTTATATTTCAGCTAAACCTGAGATGTTCAATCGCACTGCAATAGTTTTCTATCCATTTTTCCCGTGCTATAATAATTTTCACCACATAAAATTGCTGCACAAGACCCTTATTGCCAAAAAAGCGTTGCTTGCAACACTAGTCCTTTATGGGGACCAAATTGGGTGGAAAAAAAAAGCTAAGTTTGTTTACTGGATATACTGAGGTGGATATGTATTGTATGTTCCTTCCGTTTTTATACAAACTAAAAGAATGTGTTAGAGCCGTTAACTTATCTATTAACGATTGACCTATAGGTACTTTAAAAAAAATAAGTTTACAACCCCAAACATGATAAAAACATAACAAGGGAAAAACATTGAGAGGCAGTCTGACGTTTGCCAACAATATATATTTAAAATTCAAAACTCAAACTCACACACACATTCCCATTTTCAATCTCAAACAACAACAATTGTGAACAATTTAATTTAAATGTTGGCAAACGTCAGAAAAAATATCATGGCCGACGAATTGAGAGAATAAATTTACCTTGTAATGTTTTTATCATGACCCCAAATATGCTTAATATGTTAAAAGGCCCGTGGATGATACCAGCATGCTGGCGCCATCAAGTGATGGTGCCAGTCGATTGACCGTGTGTGTTCTTGTGGTGTGATTTTACCGGCTGCTGGAGCAGTTTTTCAGTTTTTTACCGGAAATCTCTTGCCATGCTTGTAGAAAAATTATGAAATTTTGGCTCTAATCATTTCGGTCTTCTTTGGACCTCATTTGTAAAGAAATAAATATTGTACCAGCAAGCTTCGAGCCTGATGGTACAATCATTTGATGGTGCAACAAGGTGGTGTCGTGAATTCGCCCTTTTATATATATATCTACATATATTTATGTAAGTAAAAATTTTTAGCTGCTAATTTTAGCAACAACGAATTTTTTTAGCTCTCTTTAGCCGTTTTTTAAAAGGAATTTGGCTACCACTAAAGGGATGCGCGGCAACACTGGTCGGTGTAAATCCTGTGTAAAGTCAAGACCGATAGAATACAAGATTGCGCTGATTGATGTGGATATGACGTCATC